AAAATCTGACTACTTCGAACTGATGAGAGTCACTCTCACTGAGTTTTGCTCTCTCATTGTTACTGTCATTTCCGAGTTAAGGAACGCTTTTTGGACTAAAACTGACTACTTCGGACTTTTTCTAACTATTTCTGGGAGATAAGGAACGCTCCTAATCACTAAGTGCGGCCGCAGTCCGCTTACTCACAAAGGTGCTCTCTGCAAAAGGTGTTCAGGCTTTCTTCTTCGGCATCACAGAAAGTGGAATTTTACTAAGGACCAGTTTTTCAGTGCGAGTGTAACTCTGTTTATCGTTTAAACTGTATTTAAACTCAGTGTGCAGTTTTTCTGTCAAATTCAAACCGAGTTTTAACTAAGTTTTACAGTAATATCTCTTCTTGTTTTCCTGAAATGTGTTTCATGCACGCACGAAGAGACTTTGTACAATTTCGTCATATTTTATAGTTAAAACTCTCACATTTATCGAAATTTATTGCAATTATCCACTTTTTAATAATTTCCAAAGATTTTATGCAAAAAATACTCATTTTAATGCAAACATTAGGGCTTTCATCAAAAATGATAAACTGGATAAAAGGATAAATTTATCATTTTGATAAATGAACTGTCAAACTTTGTATTTAATCAAAGTTTATCACTTTATCAAACGATATTGGTGGATAAACGCATACATTTTATAAAAATTCCATCTTGACAGTTCGTCAGGTGGTGGCTTTTTCTACGAACACATAAAAAGCAAATGAACACAATAGACGAGGTAAGAATGAAGCGTAACTAGAAATATAAGTTAAATAATAAACAATTTTATGCAATTGTATTACCACGGTGCATTTATGCAAGAATGCGGATAAAGGGATAAATTGAAGCAAATTGAACTTACAGGTCTATTCTCCACGTTACCGAAGATTTTGTGACCGGAAAATTTTATTACCAAAAAATTTTACATTTTCTTGTCACCGCGATTCTAGGTATGTTGGTAATGCAGTGAAAATATTCAGCAACTCAGCTATGAAGATTTGTGGAAATTCCTGTATTGCATATTTCACGGCGCAATATTTTGTTACCAGCTTATGAGATGGTAGCCAAATTTACCGGTTAAAAGAGAGCACAGAATGCGAAAAAGTTTAAAAATTGACCGACACTTTAAATACCGGTTATACAATTTATGTTACCGGCGCAGAATAGACCTGTTATTAACTTTTTCAGTAATTTTCCCCATGAAATGTAAACAAACAATGCGTGCACAATGATGAGCAAACCACAGTGCCGTACTTTACCGTTTCTGTATCTTCTACCATTTGCCGATAACCAGCCGATAACGACAAGTGTGCAGATCTTCATTGAAATGCATGAGCGCGGCTCGAAATTTCAGGGCAAGACGATAAAGCTGCCTTTACTTGAGGCGATTTTCCAGGCGATTCAACATTGCTCTGCAAAAATCGCACGTGTAAATAGTGATTCAAAAATAGCTTGCCTCTTAGTAGACAGAAAGGCATCGCATCATGTAAAGGCAGCTTAACGCAACTATGATTGGACGACAAGTGTGCAGACGGCCTCAACCAGCTCTATATCAAGATCAGTGTTGCCGCGAATCCTTTTAGCGGTAGCCAAATTCCTTTGAAAAAAGGGCTAAAAAGTCGTTGTGGCCAAAAATGGTACTTAAATTTTTTACTTACATATACATGTATAAGTATACACGTAAACATTTTCAATAAGTGATGGAAAGCTAATATTTCAATGAACTTTGGAAAGCTAATATTTTATCCAACCAAGAACCTTCTTGTATAAAAGGGGAATATACGACACCAGCTTGCTGGCTCCATCAAGTGATTGTACCATCAGGTTCGAAGCATATAACCACCATATACCAGCATGCTGGTGTAAAATTTTTTTTTTACAAATGAGGTCCAGGAAAGATCGAAATGATTAGAGCCGAAATTTCATAATTTTTCTACCATTTTGTTAAACATTGTTTTTTTTTTAATTCACAACGCGAACTTCCACAAACATGGCTTTGACTCATATAGTGTAATAAATTTCCGCTAAAATACTTTTTACTTAACTTTTTGCTAATTTCACCACTCGCGACACCAGCATGCTGGTAGAATCATCAAATTTTTAAATAGCTTTTGTAGTCCCACCAGTAGCTGGTACAATCACACCACAAGAACATACAGGGTCAATTGACTTGATGGGCCATTTAAGAAATTAAGCATATTAAGGGCCGTAAATTATCTATTTTAAACTATAGTTAAATCGTTCCTAAATAAGTTAACAGCCCTAACACTTTTACGGTATGTGTGTATAAAAAAGTAAGGAACTTACAGTACATATATATATCAGTCTTTGTTAAATTAAGCATACACAACTTTTTCATGCCAAGTGTGAATAAATTCTCCAAAAGGCTAAAAAAAGGACTAGGGGCAATTTTAAATTTATATGGCCAAAAAAAAAGTATGTAGAAGTTAAATCTAGCCACCAAAGGGCTGCAAAGGCATGACTGATCACGATCATTTCTTACGGAAACGGTCCGGATCATTCCTATTGGAGTTGGCAGCACTAATTTTATACTACTACCACGATGAAAACGATATTATAAAAATGAATTCACTAATAGGGAGTTCACAAGATGTTGTATACTGTCGTACTGTTGTACGTCATAAACTTTAAACGGCTAAAACTATATTTAAGGAATCCACAAGCTAACATACAAATTTTATTATGAAATTACACACCGTTAAAAAATAGTTGTTGGTGGTTTCAAGTCCTCGAAACATTTATTTAACCGCTAATAACTTTACAACATACGCCAATACGACACCTTGTGAACCACCCATAAATGTGGAAAAGTACATTTAAATGAAATAATATTCACTTAAACTTGGGATCATATCATATCAGGGTCATACCGTTGTTGTTGCCAGTGTTGCCAAACATGAGCCTTTCCTGCCAAAACTGGTAGGTTTTTTCCATTTGGTAGGTATGTAGGCTGGAAAGGCGGGTGCCACCTTGAGCAAGCCGCGCCGATTGGTCCGCGTCGCCATAACAGGAGATATGGGCACCTGTCCAACGGACGCCCTTTGTGTCATTACAGGCATTCCTCCTTTGTCTATTCTGTTGAAAAAAGAGGCCTGCTGGA